AGCAGGAGAGGGGGGTTCTGCTTTCACCTGGAACACTGGACACAAACAAACAAACAAACAAACATCAAACAGATGAGAAGTAACAAAGACGCTTTAGCTGGATGATCTACTCACACATCTCCACCGGTAACGGCTCCGTTATCGTCATCTCACTTTTCATCACTGAAGCGTTTCCTAAACACAAAACAGAGAAAACAAGAGGAGAGACGTGTCATGATGAATAATAAAATAAAACAATAATGATTAGTTTCTAACACTATATTAGAATTATAAAAAGCCTAATCTCAGTGTAGCAACTACAATAATAATAACAGGAATAAACTTTATTTTTGTTCAAATTTCAATTTCCATGATCACAAAAGCAGATGTATTCAAACAAACCCTGAAAACTATTCAAAACCTGTGTTTGTAACCCATCTTCATCATGTTTTTATTTTGCTCTGATGAGCCAGCGGCTTCGTGTTTCCGTGGGTTCCTCCGGCAGCATCGAGAGTCTCGTGTTGCAGAAACCAAACCCGCCGACCGCTGTGAAATAAAGCTCCGAGATGAAGAGTCGCGGCTGGCCTGTACCTGTGAGAAGGTTGTCGTCAAGGTGTCGCCATGGCGACGTGCGGTTGTCAGGATCGAGGGTGAGCACGAGGTCATTGTCCAACTATGAAGACACACAAAGAGAGAAGAGAATGACGCCTTCGTGGGAAAAATAAATAAATCAGTTTCAGATCTAAATAACACTAATGGTGTTTTTCTAGAACATCTACAGGTACCTAACGGTACCAATTTTCGATACTTTTGAGTGTTTATTATTTTAATTCTCTTTTATAATTAAATATATGTTTTTCTCAATATATAACAATATTTGATAAATATCACGATAAACAACATACAACTGTTTGTATTTTAACATCGTCCTTGTAGTTTTATAAGCTGATAATTAAACTGAAGCAACATCTTTACTGTGAACTAAATTTACTGTGTATCTTCATTCCTTTTGCCGTTTTTTTTCATTTGATTTTTCCTACTGGGAAGTTAGAATTTCCGAGGAGAAAGCGAACGCACCATTAGCTGATAACAATGGTAGCAATGGAAGCTAACATATCAAGCTAACGTTATCTTAAACAGTTTATTTAGCTGCTGGAGCAGATTAAAACGATGATGCCTCACACTTAGATCGTTGTCGCTGGTTTCATCTTCACCCGTCGCATTTAGTAAAGTGAAGCCAAATTTTAGAGCGCGTTCATGTTCTTCTAGTCGGGAATTCGGAGTTCCGAGGAGAAAGCGAACGCACCATTAGCAAAACGGAAGCTAACATATCAAGCTAATTATATTTCCCTACCGGAGCAGATTAAGATGAGGATGTTTCACTTAGATCGTTGTCGCTGGTTTCATCATCACCCAGTTACCCATCACATTTAGTGAAGTAGACCCAAGCGTTAGCGTGCGTTCTTTCTACCATGCTGCTCTGTTTACAACTCGCTCGCAGGGACCGACGACATAACGGGACCGACGACATAACGCTCTTGCGCATGTGCAGCTGTCTTGGCAAGTTCTCGTTATGATGGACAGGTACCGAAACGAGGCACCGTTTGAAATGACGTGAATCGGTGCTCGGTCGGTACTATGGAATTCGGTCGGTACCTTAAAAAGTACCGAATTCGGTACCCAACCCTATCGACAGGTAACATCTACAGGTAACATCTACAGGTAACATCAGGTGAGCTGCTGCTGGATGCTCGTTAAAACGCTCCTGAAACCAAATGTTTGTGCAGCAGAGCTGTTTAATTAGCAGAGTCACCTCGCAGCACAAAGGCGTCTCCTCCTCTCGTGTGAGGTCAAGTTTTCAGACTCAGCAACTAAACATTCATTCGCTGAGCTTACATCATGATCATCTTCTGCGTAAAATCTACAAACAGGATACCTGAACAGCTTCAGTTTAGAGAAACAACAACTAATGTCCGACCAGACGGAAAAGCTGACGGCATCAAGAACTCCACCCAGCATAAAGTTTCAAATTAAAATGATGATAAAAATGAAGATGTACAAAAACTGGTCGTGTGTTCAGAATCAGTCTAAATTATAGGTGCTCAGCCCTGGTCCTGGAGGAACACCATCCAGCATGTTTTAGCAGTTTCTCTGCTCCAACACACTTTATTCAAATGGTTCAATCACCTGTTCAGCCTGCTAATCACCTGCTGATTAAACCAGGTGTGTTGGAGCAGAGAAACAACTAAAACATGCTGGAGGGTTTTCCTCCAGGACCAGGTTACAGATTATTATTTCCTCTTTTTTGAGGTCCATGAATGCATCATTGTCATGAAACATAAAAAGAAATGATGTATTTTAGGGACGCACCGATGGATCGGCATTTGATCCCAATCGGCCGATAGCGCCCTTATCGGTTTTGATCGGAGTTTTCAAAATAGATCAAAGCAGACCGATCAGGTAGGGTTGTAGATCAAAGCAGACCGATCAGGTAGGGTTGTCACGGTAACCGGTGTAGCGGTAAACCCCGGTAAAAAAAAAAGGTTAATAATAATAACCGTCTTGTTTAAAAAAAAAAACTATATTATCTCGGTGGGTTTACAGTGGCTGCGGTGTAGGCGCGGTGACCTTTACCAGCCACCGTATCATCTGCTGAAGTTGCCGGTGGCACATGCGCACTTTCTTGTTTACAACCAAAACTTTCTTGAAGCTAAAGCTAAAATAATGGCCAAAGGAGGAGACGGCAGCGCTCAGGAGGACATTTATTATCCCTCAAAGAAGACAAAGTGGGAAGTACGGGCATCTTTTGGATATTTGAAGAATGCCGAGGGACAGTTGATAGAAGACGGCTATCCTGTTTGCAGCACGTGCAGAAAAAGTGTCTGTGAAAGGCAGCAACGCTTCAAATCTCATGACACATCTGCGTGACCATCACCCACAACTCTACAGTCAACGCAAGGCAAGCTAACGTTAGCATTTTAGCTAAAATGCGTGATCCGAGGATTTGGGTTGAGGGAGAACGCAACGAGTCGCTATATAAAGCAGCTGCAGCACCGCTACCTGCATATAAACCGTGTCGCGGACACCGCCATGTTGAAATGACGCTATGCATTACGGGGCTCCCAGGGGCAGATAAGAGTTGGTCTCTCTCCGAGAATAATTATGAATTTAACAACGATTACTGCCTGATGACACTTTCCCACATCTGCAAAGCTCACTGGAAGGACACAAACCGAGGACAACATTTTCCTGATATAGGGTTAATTACTCAAGTAAGGGTAATAAAGTATCTGATTAGAAGGCTACTTGAGTACTGAGTGTCATCTGATCTAATATTTTTAAATGATGACATCAAACAGACAAAAAATAAGAAGTTATGGGCAAATATTGGTATTTTAAAGACTAAAGGGTAAAAATGTAAAAAAGTAAACAACATAATTACAAAATAACACATTTTAGGCTAAATTTAGACCCAACCTGAGGACAATATTTCCTGACATACAGGGTTTATTTAATTGTGTGAAAATGTAGCACGCTTAAAAAAAATACCGCGATAATACCGAAAACCGTGGTAATTTTGGTCACAATAACCGTGAGGTTAAATCTTCACACCGTGACAACCCTAATACAGACCATTTTAGATTAGGTTACATTTCCTTTATTCCCAGATTATGTAGTTTGTAGCACTCATTATAATGTTGTAGAAAATTCTGGCCAATCCACGTGATCGGTGTCGGCGATCAGTATCGGTGATCAGCATTCTTTGATATCGGTATCGGTGATCAGTATCGGTGATCGGCAGCAAAAAACCTGATCGGTGCATCTCTAATGTATTTGCTAATCTGTGAAATCCTAATTAAAAGCTGTCAAATTATCCTGGTAGCTGTACTGGAACAACAACCCAGAGTTAAACAACTAGGAGCACTGAACTGGTTCTTCTAACAATAATCTCTCCTCCCTACGCTAGGCTTGTCAGTTATTTTACCCACATCGTGTCCTGCAGGTCGGTCAACAAGCACTTCCTGTTAACCAGGAAACTCCAACCAGGAAGCACCAAAAGCCACACGTGATGTGTGCAAAACAAGAAAATCCTGCAATTATCGGGTCAGTTTGACAGAGTATTTGACATTTCTGCTTACTCGTTTCCCCACAGAGGCAGATAAGGACTCGGCTCAGATGAGTCATGAATGTGGTTTCCTCAGCGTGGAACAGCTTATTCAGCCTTGAATCAAAATAACCTGCTGGTTGCTTCATGGTGACCTGACCTTGTCTTAATGTATCTAGAAAGTGGCTGAATGATTCTGCAACAATCTATCGCAGCAGCAGTGCAACATAGCTCATCTGCAAGCCAGAACTATTGAGTGCATCTTCCTGCAGGAGTGTGCTAAACAGCAGGTGTCAGCTCTACCACCTGTGAGCAGAGGGACTTTATTTGTGTTTGTACCGTTGCATCGTATTTCAGCCCACCGCCGAAGTCTCCGTCCTCTCCTTCCTCCATGCTCTCACACTGGTACAAGCAGGCATCTGCAGAAAAGACCAGATACAGACACCTCAGCAAAAAGCATAGCGACAGACTGATGAACAGAAGAACAAACGACTCGTATTAGATGCAGAAATCTGAGAACAAATCTAACAAATGCTCAGAATTTTTACATAAATTTTAAAAAATATCTATTCATTTAGTTTGATTATTAATTTAAAAAACAAAATAATAAATTTCCTGCACAATCGGTGTAATAAAAACGTGCTTTAAAAGGAAAACATCCCAACGTCATCAAATACAGATCAGAGACATTTTAATAGGGATGCACCGATACTGGTATCGGTGCCGATACCAATACCAATACCAGTATCGGTAAAAGTTAACCGATACCAGGAACAGATACCAATGCAGTTACTTGAAAATGGCTTCACTGTAACTTGTCATTTCTGTTCACCTAATATTTTAGTTTTGTGATGATTTCCATTCATATATTTTACTTTTTATCTACCTCACAGTCTTTTCCTGTTGAAAGCAGAGAAGAAAATAAAATCTGTATTCCAAATCATTGCATTTTTTGTGTGTGGTGGAAGTATCGGTATCGGTAATCGGCATCGGCGAGTACTCAGATCCAAGTATCGGTATCGTATTGGTTTGGAAAAAAGAGGTATCGGTGCATCCCTACATTTTAAGGAAGTATTTAGTGAATTTAAAGGCCAGAACAACTGTTGGGTGTTACTATAGCTCGCCCTGTTAACGTGTAACCGGCTGTGTGGCTGTTTTCAGTCATCTCTCATGTAGACACACACTAAATGGCAGGGTTACTTTAATTATTGTCTAAAAGCTGTGGAAAAAATACAATCAAGCTCTGCAACAACTCAGTCCAACGCCACAAAGCCTCTGTTTGATCTTCTGCTGTAGTTCAAGCAACAATATTTCTGCTTCTCCACCAATAGAAAGTCAAAAGAAACATAAGAACTTTCAGATCTGATCAAACACATCTGAGCTAGATTCATGCTAAGGAAACTTTATTGAGGCTCAAAAAGTTTGTCAGCAAGCAGATTTAGGGTCAGAAAATAACATCTAATATGAGGCAAAAGTCTACATGCCCTTTCTGTTTTTTCCCATCATGCCCTGCATGCTCTGATGCACTCTGGACTTTGAAACTGAAATAAACATAAAACACCAGAGATTTTTATAGAGTGTGCATCCTGTTGAAGAGTGCAGTTCACTGAAGCATGCAGCTTTAACAACCCTGTGAATCTTTTGTAAAGCCAACAAATTATCAGTAAATCTTAAAAATGTGCAGAATTAAACCTGCTATTCTGATGTTTTTGTCCTCTGAAGGTTAGGTTATAGCGCTGCAATAAGTCGATCATCTAAAATCAAATGATTCTGCAAACCTTTGAATAGAAAATAAACTTTAAAAGCAAGCACTGACATTTGGTGATCGTCTCTGGTCACAGTAGGCAAGCATGTTTGAATGTCAAATTTACCTGAAAGATTACGTAACAGAAGGTAGGATGGGTCAGAGAACCACATATGATCGTACTGAGTGAGCGTTTGCAGGAGGTGGATACAGATTTGCTTTTTAAATAAAAACACACATTTAACTGCTTGAGGAGGCTGTGAATCCGACAAAAACACCAAGCTGCAAATACGAAGAAGTCATCCACATAAAAGCCAAGTCCTGCTGAGTAAAGTGGACTCCTGCAGTCCCGTCCAAAGCTATAAACTATTTATTCCTGCAAATCACAGTTGGCGCAACTGTTCCATCACAGCCTGCAGGAGGTTCGAATCCCATCTGTTTCCTAATGAATCCCTTTTTTCTTACAGTTATTGAACTCCCGTTGTTGTGTGATGCTTTAATCGTCCACCACCTTTTCAGATCAGATGTGGACTCCACGTTTAACCTCCGTTTCATTTTTGCAATTATATTTCAGACAAATATAAATGACAGAGCTGTAATCAACAGATTCATTCTTAAATTACCTCTTAGTATGATTAGATAGCTTTGCTTGCAGAAATGAAAATACGTAGTTGACATAGGAAGGTTAAAGTTTATTTTGGTTTTCAATCATCTGTAAATTCAGCAGAAAAATGCTGCGAAATATGCAAATATTCACTGTAGAACTGCAATTACTGGTAGATTTTTTTTACTTTTATTATTCAAACTTTTACAAATCATTTATTTACTTACTTTATACTGTTTCTGATTAAGATTTACCAGGACATTATTTTATAAACATTATGTTATAGCTACTTTGGCAAATAATACCCTTGCTTTAAAAACACTAAACGAGTCTATGATGAAATACTAAAACTCCATTAGGACACACTCCACATCCTACAGGAGTATAAGTGTGAAACATGTCGCTAAAAGCTTATAAAGTGGGTACTTTCACAGACCACAACCACAGATGGTTATATAAAACGTGCAATCACGTTTCCAGCCTCTAGTGAGGATGATTAACAGGCATGTCCGGGTTTGATTAGAGGAAGCACGCTCACGTTTAACCACATGGAGGCACATATGTCTTATATATTTAAAAGAAACTATAAAATATGGAGTTACTTGTCTCAAAAACAGGTTAAGATAAAAAAAAAACGTTAGCTAAAGCCGCTGTAGCGCCCCTGCTAGCATCGCATCGACGCGCAACCACACTAGGTTAGCTTGTGTCGCTAAATGTAGCTTTTTATTTAACTTGTAGGTTATTAAAAGGGTAACTTACCCCAGTCTTCGCTCGTCAAGAGGTTATCAGCGAAGAATCGAGTGTCCAGATCTGATAGTAAATCCGTAGCCATCGCCACAGGGCGGTGTGTTTGGAGTCTGCAGTCGGATAACAGCCGAAATAATACGGACCAGATAACGCCTCAAGCTCTAGCATTAAGCTAAAACTATAACACTGGATATCGACATCTTTAGGAATAAAATCTAACTGAAATTGTTTTTGTTCAAAACTGATATCTATATGTCCATCCACCGATCTATCGACGCTTCCTTTTGCTTTGCATTTGATAGACAAGGAAACGCATATTCCCGATAAGCACCGCCTACTTTTGAAAGAACATACAATAGTAATGAAGATACATTTGATTGACAGCAAATAAACCAATGGAATGACAGGAAGAACTCCATTGGTCAGATAGGTAGCCTATTGTTAACAGGTCTCGCAGGGCCGAGCCTTTAAAGATGTATTAGACCAATCACACACTAGTTTTTTGATTGACTGAAAAAGTTAACCAATGATCACTATTGTTGCTGAGATTGTCAGTAATTCTAGCCAATAATAAGCCATTAGAACAAAAATACTTTAGAGAATATCACGTGTATTCCAGCGTTGCTGCAAAAACAACTAGGCAGACTTGAGTGTGAAGTGTTGAAGCCCTTGTCGTAATGAAGTTATGAAGTTACAACTCATTCATTGTTTTGAACAAACTGTAAACAATAACATTGATATTCCTAGCAAGCATAAATTGAGCTTTAAGTCAATTTTATCCGAATGATTTTTTTTACCGTTTCTAAATTTAAATTGAGGATATGTTGGTGTTGAACTAGAACCTAAAGACTCTATTTTAATCCCAACAGATTGTGGTTGTCAATGAAGCTGTAAAGAAAAAATGTTTTTTGTTGTTTTGTAAACCGTAAAACTGTGGAGATTGATGAGGAGGAGAAGGTGAAGGTGAAGAGGGAACTACTTAGACTTTTGTTACAGAGTAATAACATTTTCGGTAAATTTTTTCAAAATAAAACACTATGGCACTTGGACATTATCAGCGTTAATTAAACCATCAGGATAAAACTGTCTTTTGTACATTTTTAAACTTTCCATCGTGTAATTTGATCTAAGAACGAAATGTAATCTTAAAAGAGCTTAACTTCCCCTCGTTAGGACTTCTTCACTCAACATTAAAAAAAAGAAACCAACGTTCAATTATCCAACATCCAGGTCCAGCTCCCAGAACCTCCACCAAGCTGTAAGGACATAGTAATATGCAACCCAACCACTAAAGGGCAGTGTGACCCTGCAGGCTGATTTCAAACCCCCCCTCTTCTTTGAACTAATCCCAGACAGATGTGAAGCCAAAAGGAGAAACTGCTCCAAGAAGCATTAATCACAGAGGAAGGTGTTGACGTCCAGCACATGACTTTATTCCCTCAGCAGGTAAATGAACCTAAACCGATGTGACGGTGTGATCCACTGAGATTTAATGATGTAAAGCTTTCAGGATTACACAGCTTTACACAAAACAGGATATTTAAATTCAGTGCAGGCTCTAGAAGTAGTACAGCAGTGCAGCTGGTGTTAAATAGTCTGACTTAAGAACGTTAAAGGACTCCAAGTTTTGACTCGCTCACTGATTTGATGGGAAATGAAGCTTTTTGATTCCTCTTCTGAGAGAAGTTTATGTGTAAATTAGCACAGCTGAGCTGTTGGAAATGACATGATGTGCACTTTGTTGTCTGGATTTATGGCTCAGACTTTAGTGATGGTTTCCTGTGGGACTCTACAGCTTTAAATCCACAGCTGACAAAAAAAGATGGAGAGACACAACATGCTATCCTCTTCTTTTTCCTCACATGTCGTTCAAATCCATCGGGCCAATGTTTAATAAGCATTTCTCTGGTTATATTTTATAAAACTGAGACGTTGTATAATTTTCCATCAGATACCATGGCTGTGTTGATTTTATATGAAAGTCATTTAAAACTATTTATGACATTTTATAATAGTGATGAAAATGTTTTTGCCCATTGTAGTTCTAACAAAACATCACACAAACCACTGGGTGGATTTAAATGATGCGCTCAGAACATATGGATGTTTATAGGATGTGAATTTGCAACTGATTCACTTTTGGAGTCAATCCAATCCAACATGGCCACCACAACAAACATTAGAAAACACAAACATTGTTGTGACTCACTCAGGTTTACTGATACAAGGCCCGTTTCCAATATCAGACCTTCCGGGTAATTCTAACATACCTTCAGGTTACGCGCGTGTCTCTATTTCCGCAGGACGACACAAAATGACCATTGTCCGGGCCATTTCAAGAACCATCAGAGCCCCTGAATTAGGTGTGTGTGAATCAACTGGGTGATAGCTCAGTCCTCTCAGCTGTTCAGCCCTTTCAGGACTTTGCTAAGACGCCAGCAAATGCTTCAGCAGTGAGTGATGTCACTGATCAGCGTCACAAAGCATACACGGACATTAATAACATTGAAAGTTTTAGTCGGTCGTAGTACGGCGTGGTTTGAACCATTCGGATGTCCGGGAGAGCAGCTGTGTGATGTAATTTAAGGTGTTCAATGACCAGCAGACGCGTCACTTTTTACGGTGCTCTGTGAGACAACAAAGCCTTGTGAATTACGTCTCTGAGGGGGGAATTCAGCTTCGTTTTGCAGTGATGAACAGCGATTTTAAAGTGGGGTGAATGGTGATTATTTGCATGTGCGTCAACTTTTCTTCACAAGCAACTCTTCTACTTTTACAAAAGCCTGTTGTTTGGATGTCTGCTGACGTCATTTCCTGCTGTGCTACAATCAATCAGCGTGAGCCAAAAGTTCCGCTCAGCTACTCTATTGGGCCTTTCGGAGTACCTATACCCCTGTTGAGGTTTGTTGATTCCTGAAAAATGCCAGGTGAAGCGGAGAAACATGCCAGGATATTCCGGTAAAATTACCCTGAAGTTCTGCTAACAGAACCACGCCTATTGGGGTGTGGCCTGGTAGACTCGTGAGCGGGACAAGTTGTTAACTCCCCCTGACTGGTTGTAAAGCCTAATTTATACTTCTCCATCTACACGTAACGCCATTATCTGTCCTTTTGAAGGCTCTCCGACTGGCTCGTTTTCTAAACATCCGTCCAACGAGACGGATAACGCAAGCTAGTGATTGGTCAGGACGCCGTTTTCGTCTACAGCGCCGCCATTGCACCCTCAAAAACATAAAGAGAGCCGAGGATATCTAGCGGCATTCACGGAACAGATTGAAGAATACCTTGTGGAAAAACTCTAAAAGTATGAACGCTTTACTCCCTCGTGAACGGAGGAGTGAAAAGATATGGAGCAAGTGTTTCATTCGTGGATGGAAATAGCGAGAAACCTAGGTTTAGAGGTGGCAAGCGCATGAAGAGGTGGAGGAGGGTGAGTGACAAATTTGTCTGTGTTAGAAAGTCTCTTAAATACAAAGAAACACTATATAAACACAACAGTAAATACACCATCTTGGAACGGATACATAACAGGATACCACAGAACAGCGCTACGCCCTCTGTTGTCCTGGCGGGGAACTGCTTAGTAACTTTTCCCATGATGTGGAGAAGTAGGAAGGCAAAACGTCTACATGCGTGCGTGTCTCTCCCTTGTGAAGCTGATGGAGAGGTGTAAATTGGGCTTAACTCAGTAGGAAATGGTAGTTGTAGTCAAACAACCGGCATTAGTAAAATTGGAAGTTTCTGGTGAAGCGGAATGGAAAGAAAAGAAAAAAAAGCAACATTGAAGAGACGATGCGTCGTTTTCATTGTTGAACTCTGGAAATATCCATCGAAATGTTGTTGAAAATGAATAAAATGATGCCCAGTTGTTGAAAATTGTTGGCGGCTTCTTAACATTTAACCAAGAAATCTGATCTAAAGAACAGAGAGGCGGGTCTAAGTCTCTTGGGCAACGCCATATTAGATGCCATGGTTGCTGCTATGGAAACCCGTGAGGACAAAATGCATTTACTGATTTGTAAGAAACGGTTTCAAATCGTTCGCCCTTCATGAGTGTTGCCAGTGATGAAAGGGAGTCTGATGACTTACACTGGTTGTTGGTATTTGTCCCAGCCTGGATTTTAACCCGGGTTCGCTGCATGTAAGTCAGGTGTCTTACCAGTTGAGCTATCCATTAGACATTTATCAGAGTAGTCATTTGATATTTGTCCTGACTCCCTTATTATCCCAGCAGCACATGATAACTTCTCAGTGTCATGATGCAATTGTAAATAAAACTTTTTAACTGAAAATATTTCTGTAATCAAAATTGGCATAATTTAATCAATTGTGTTAGACGCTTAAACCTGTAAAGTGACTTACAGATCTCTGTATTTTCAAAAAAACTGGCAAAAATGTAGTTTTTACAATATTTTTGTCATGATGAGGAAGGAAGGACTCACGAGTGACCTCAGACCAAAGACTCAGAAGAAAGGAAATGAGCTTAATTAAGGGGAGATGAACTAAAGGCGCTCCATGGAGGGAGGGGAAATTAAACAACTAAAGGTGCACCACTGGGAGGTTCAGTCCGATTGGGAGGTTTAGAGGTCTTCCTCGTTGGGTTTGGTAGCAAGGGGGTAATCATCCAGCAGCCAGGGTGCAGATTTTCAGTTTCCACATCACACAGGGTGTTTCGACTACGCCAGTCACATACTTTGAGATTCATCAGCTTGTAAAAGTTTGGAATTAAAATGACTACACACCAGAAATTGCACATCGCAGATGTGATGTCACCACATAATCTCCTCTCCCCTATAGCTGCTTTCCAAATGACCAGATTCATGGTGGTTCTTTCCTCCTGTGGGAAGTTTGCTGAACTTACAGCCCTTGTCCCTCAGTTTTCTCCGTGTCTGGTTCGATGACGTCACTTTCGTGAAGCGCATTTGTAGTCCTGGACTTATTTTCCCACAAAACCTAAAATAGCGTTTACCTCCATTCAGAATTAAGTGTGTTCTTGGTATCAACATGTGTCTTTAAAATTCACGGACATCATCTGTGAAATCCAAGGCACAAAACAAACGGGATTAGAAAATACTCTAAAGACTCTGACACTAGTCAGTGACTCGATGCAATTTGCAGAGTTCCTTACATAGGAAACTTTTTTCTGACTGGCTTAATGAACTGACCTGTATTGGAATGTTTATTATGTGAAGTGCCTTGAGATGACTCTTGTCGTGATTTGGTGCTGTGTAAATAAACTTGAATTGAATTGAAATTAGTGTTTTTAGCCCCGTTGACTTGCATTAATTTTTTCGTTTTTCCAAGGACTCATGGTCCAGAAG